AATGTTTTGTAGCAAACAACAATCTACTGCGATAATATCTCTACCATTTCTCTTTCAAAAAATTTTATCTTCCATGCTTGTACGAAGCATATTGAGATAGATTATCACTCCTTGCGTGACCATATCAACCTCAATAACATTTAGTTGGAACACATGCACTCAAATGAACAAATTGCAGACTTCCTGACAAAAGCTCTCCCAAATTCTCAATTCTGAAATATTCGCACCAAGCTGATAAATATCCCCAGCTTGCAGGAGGGTATTAGCCACTACACTACCGGTGGTCCCCAAGCAAATCACATCATCACCAAGAATATGGAGCAACACCATCTTTAAGAACATCTTCTTATTCTCATATATACCTTGTACTGTTTACAAATACATACAAAATAGAATTCCATTAGTATGAAATTACTTCTTCTCTGTTTTGCTGCAATACCTACCTAGTATATTTCTGTTGGGTAATGTGGAGACTCGGTCTACGCAATTTAATTAACTTCTTAATTAAGAATCTTACCTATCGCTCCCCAACCTTCTCATCTACCGCTCATCTATCACATCCCATCTTCCGCCAACCTATCTCCAATCTACCGCTCTCTTGGTTTTTATAAATAGCCTCTTATGGCCAAGCCAAACAAGATCAAGGCAAGTCCTCTAAGAGAGAAAGAGAGGAAGAGAGAAAGAAAGTGAAGAAAATAGATATTTTCTTTTAAATGTCAAGGCGCACGATGATGTAATTTCTTGAAGAAATAAAATATAAATTAATCTGCAGCTCCGTGGACGTAGGCAAATTTGCCGAACCACGTAAATCTGTGTCTCTCTGGTGTTCTCTGCGGTCAATTTTTCTAGTTCCATTTTTCGCTTTATTGTCGTCATTTTTCACAACAACTGGTATCAGAGACTTGGGTTTGGATTTAAGGAAGAACGGTGGGCAGAGATGAAGTGATGACATCGAGGATGGAGAAGTTCAATGATAAAGATTGTGTTTATTGGAGGGTGTAGATAGAGAACTACCTCTATGAGAAGAAACTTCATCTTCCGTTACTGAGAAAACAACCGGAAAAGATGAACGAGACTGAATAAAATCTGTTAGATCGACAGCTTTTGGGGGTTATTCGATTAACCTTGTCGAGATTAGTTGCCCACAATGTCATCAAAGATAGGACTACTACAGATCTCATGACGGTTTTATCAGTCTTGTATGAAAAGTCATCGAATAATAACAAGACGCACCTGATGAAAATGTTATTCAACTTGAAAATGACGAAAGATGTGTTTATTGCTTAACACCTGAATGATTTCAACACTATCATAAATCAGTTATTTGTTGAAATTGATTTTGATGATGAGATACATGCGCTGATATTGTTGGCTTCATTACCAAATAATTGAGAATCCATAAGGATGGTAATTAACATTTCTGCAGGTAAATCTAAGCTGAAATATAATGATATTCGTGATTTGATTTTGGTTGAGGGGGTGCCAAAGAAAGATTTTGGCGAGGCATCGTCTTCAAGTTTGTTATGGAATGTTAATTCCAGAGGGAGATCACATGACAAGAACTCAAACAGAAGAATATCAAAATCAAAATCTGGTCAGCAGACAACCTGCTTGAATTGTGGCAAGACTTACCACATAAAAAATAACTCCAGAAATCCTAACAAGAAGGAGAATGATGACGTTAATGTTGTAACTAAAGAAATATATGATGCAATAACTCCAGAAATCCTAACAAGAAGGAGAATGATGGCGTTAATGTTGTAACTAAAGAAATATATGATGCGTTATAGCTACCAATTAACAGTTCTGTTGATGACTGAATACTGGATTTAGGGACTTCCTTCCATATATTTTCTCGTCGGGAGTTAATGCGATATTATGCTGCAAATAACTTTGAGAAAATATATTTGACTGATGGAAAAACTCTGGACGTGGTGGGAATGATAGACGTTGATATTGCACTCCCTAGCAAGAGCAAGTGAAATTTGCAAAAAGTTAGACACGTTCATGAGTTGAAGAAAACCTCATCTTTGTTGGGCAGCTCAATGATGGTGGTCATTCGATAGTGTTCTCAGATAACACCTATAAGGTTACCAGAGGAGAAGGATCATTAGTACTGGCTCAGGATAAGAAAATTGACACACTATATATGATTACAGATTTACTCAGGTGTGGACACATGAGTCAAAGGTGCATTATAGGAAATCAGAAAAAGATCAATTTTTTGAAAAGTGGCAAAGCGTCAAAGTCAAGAAAACCTGACCTTGTACAGACAAATTGTGGAGAACCACAGAGCTATAAATAAATCTTGCGAGATGAAAATTCGAGCAATTAGAAGCTGAATAAGGAGATGGAGACGCATTCTCTGTCAGAGAATCAAACTTGGGAGCTGACAGAACTTCTATCAGGGAAGAAGACATTACATAACAAGTGAGTGTACATGATGAAAACTGTGTTTGATGGCAGTAAGAGGTACAAGGTTGGACTTGTTGAAAAGGGCTTTCAGCAGGTGCAGAATATTGCTCATGCAGTGGGAGTTGTAAGCAGATACAGGAGCAACCCAGGAAAGAGACGATGATATGTCAACTGAGGGTGTTGCTCGAGAGAAGCTGAAGTTGTGCTCAACTTCAGCTGATCTAACATGAAGACATGGAATTTGAGTTGCAGATGTGGATAATATCATGTTTGAGGAAAAAGGTCGGTTCAACTAGTAGATGATGGAAAAAGTAGGTGATGCAGTCAGTGTCCCAGTCTCCAAGTGGGTGAATTGTTGGGTAATGTAGAGACCCAATCCACCGTAATTTAATTAGCTTCCTAATTAATAATCCCACCCACCGTTCACCTACCGCATCTCACCTACCGCTTACCTACGACATCCCACCTACCGCTCACCTACCTTCCACATACTGCTCTTTTGGTTTATATAAATAATTTTTTATGACTTGTCATAAACAAGCCAAGCCAAGCAAGATCAAGCCAAGTCCTCTAAGAGAGAAATAGAGGAAGAGAGAGAGGAAGAAAGAAGAAAATAAAAGGATTTTCTTGTAAACGTTGAGGTGTAATTTATCGAAAAAATAAAATCCTCTGCAGCGCCGTAGACGTAGGCAAATTTGCCAAACAACGTAAATCTGCGTGTCGCTCTGATTTTTTTCTACATGTAATTTTTCTCGTTCCATTTTTCGCTTCATTGTCGTCATTTTTCACAACAACTTCTGCTCCTGACCCATTTCGGTTCAATGTCCAGTACAAGTTTTTCAACCTTTTCTACAAAGTCCTTGCTGTAAGAACTTATTATTAGAGCATCGGGCGTTGGCTTGTGTGCCCACCTCTTGTTAAACTCAATTGCCTAGCAATCTTTGATTGCCTTTATATCTCGCACTTAATATTAGCCATCTCCTTTATAAGTAAACCCTTATGAGATATCCCATGCCGGCTATCCAATGCTGAACTCTTGCTAGGAGTGGTCTTCATTGGCCCTTGTTGTTGGCATCATATTGGCTAATCTCCACTCTTCATCGGTTGCTCTCTTAGAACTTGATGTCAAAGCGATTCCTACTATATGTGGTATTCTCGTCATTGGTTTGACCCAACAGCTTCTCTCCATCTCTGGTGCTTCCGGAGATTTTTGCTTTGCTTTTGCCTCAAAAAGTTCTTTCGCAGTAGTTGTCTATAAGGCCAAGCTCAACTATCTCCGTTTGCCCCTATTCTTTGCTGAGTTCCATTTTGCTTGTTGCAATGTAAAGCAATTTCGCTATTTTCTTTTCAATGTTAACCCGCTCTTATCATTCCTTTGGCAGCTACCAATCAACTTGTTGAACCATAGAAATATTCTTTGATTTATGTATGGCTGTTCCAATCACAGTCCAGTAGCAGCTGCTTGGATGATCCCAGTATGAATGTGCATTTTACTACTCATTGTGTGAGGCTTGATCCCAATATGAATAATATATATTAGTTTTCTAAACTCTCTTAGTTGTTCCTACATCAGATATTTTTTCTAATAATATATATTTACAGTTTGAATAATTCGTCAGGTGATGTTTGTGCTAGTAAGTTTGGAAGAAGATTTAAACCATAATATTTATTCGATCCAAAGATGATGCTCTCCTTCTGAAAGAGGATTTCTTTTTATCCACTCCTTATAAATGGCATAAAAGAGGAAAAAGACTTCATAAGACGTTCAAACTATATGAGATCTTCTACAAAGAAATTTAGCAAATATTATCCATTTAAATGGGAGACTATGACTAATTTTTCATAGTGAACCTCTTGGCTATTTGGCACTCACATAATGTCTTTATAACTTTATTTTGAGTAATGATATTTCATTTTTGGTTAAGAAAATAAAGTACATTTTCAATTAGTAGTAGACTAAGATTGCTAATTCTCTTTTAGATCAAGTATATTGGTGGGTAAACTTTAATATGTTGAATGATATTTAAAAATTGATTAAAATTCTGCTCTAATTATTTATCATTAAAACTTTCAAAAATTTTGTGTTGTTTCATTTGCATCTAGCTTAAAAATTGCTTGTTGAACTTGTCTTTTAGAAAGTTAGACTATAGTATTTATAATTGTTGAACTTGTCTTTTAGAAAGTTAGACTATAGTTATAGGGAGTTAAAATTGGTTACATATTTGATTAGATTTAACCTGGAATAATAACGAATGTTACAATGGTAAGTTGATGAAAATTGCTTTTAAATAACTACTTATTCCGGATTGGTCTTTCATGCCCTTTTATAAAGAGGTTGAGATTTTATTGTCTATATATATATATATATATATATATATATATATATATGAAACAGCTCCAAACCTATATTTTAAACAATTAGTTATATTCTTTGCAGCAGTGTTTTTTTCTTAAATAAAAGCAGATAGATTGAAATATTTACATAAGAAACCGTTGAGCACTTAAAGCTTCCTTCTTTTCATCATGGAATTCATAAACTGATCTGCTTTGTTCATTTTTTTCATTTTTCTTGTGGGACACTTCAGCATGCTGAAGACCATTGAGCGTTACAAGATGAATAACAAAGAGGTGATCGATAATAACAAATCAAACGAGCAAAACATTCAGGTACATAGATTCCTTTCTTCTATTCCATACTTCATGAGCTTTAATTTTTTATGTATGTTCAACTTTCCCTTGAAGAACGAACGATTTTGTAAAAAAAATAATTGAAGTTCTATTTTACATACATTACTAGGCAGAGACCTTCTCCTGAACTTTTTGATATAATATTCTGAAATGCAGCAGTGGAAGCAGGATTCGGAGCTCATGTCAAAGAAGATTGATGTACTCGAAGATTCTAAACGGTGAGGCTTTTGCTATTTAGAGATATAGATTTTCCTTCCATCATTTTATGAAGAAAATAAGAACAGTTTGTCTGAAACTAGAAGTTGAGGTAATGCTGCAGGAAGCTGATGGGTGAAAACCTTGAATCCTGCTCTGTGGAGGAGCTGCATGAGTTAGAGACTGAACTTGAGCAAAGCATAAGCAAAGTTAGATGGCGAAAGGTGGATCTGACACCAAAATATCTCAGCTCAATATTGTATTCTACAACTATTGTGCCTATCTTAACTCTTAAATATATGTGCATATTTTTTCAGAACCATTTGCTGGAAGAGCAGGTAGTGCAACTTAAAGAAAAGGTATCTTCTGAATTCTTTTTATATTGCAACATTTTTATTTGTTTAAAGAGGTCATTTATAAAGGTAAATATTTTACAAAAGAATAGCATCTAAACTTTCATATTGACATTCATAACAATCAAATGTTTAATATATTGGGACCCCAAAGTATTATAAAGGTAAATATTACTCTTCAAGTGTTAGATATGCAAATATATATGAATTGTGTGGTATTTATGTCAATCTTTCAAAACACCAAGTACACGAAGCCATTTACATCTTCTTACAATAGCAAGCATAGAAGAATAGGATTACTGGATCTAGATTTCTAATGAGATGGTGTAGGAGATGCAGCTGTTTGATATTGATTCTGAGCCACAGACTTTGTAATTCCAGGCCAAAAATTGGACGACGCATGCTGCACTATTTTAGTGGAGAGTCATCATCTATAAATAAACAATTAGTAATAGAATATAAGACCATATTTTTATAATGAAATTTTATATTTTATAGTTTGTTCTCTAAATTCAGGAGAAGGTGCTATTAGAAGAGAATGCCTTGCTACAAAAGCAAGGACCTCACACAACCTTATCTCTGGTGAGTTGCATGCAGTCTGAAATAAATTACCTCAGCTCTTAACTTCAAAATGATGTGATCAAACGGTCAGAACTTGCTGATAAGCAGCGATTTGTTTTGTTTTTTAAGTGGAAGGAGCCATTGCAGGGCTTGAATACTTCGAAGGAGATGGTTCCCCAATGTGATAAGAACATGGATGTAGAGACTGAACTGTATGTAGGATGGCCTGGAGGTGGAGGAAGAACCCAACAGTTGTTGAAAGGATGACCTTTCGACTTTTTTACATCATTAAATTTTCGAACAAGCACCATAATTATTATGTACAATATTATATAATAATTTAAAAGTGCATTTATGTCATTACAGAAGCGGCGAATGCTTTTTTGCCCCCAAGTGAAATGGAAAGTTGTTTGGTGAACTTTGGGCAGGAATTTTATTGCTTGTGTACGTCATAATGCTAAATGTTCATTTTCATTACTTGCAAATCTCGGCATGCATGCCACACAATTCTCATGTATTTACATATTTGTGAATTGAAAGATTCATATAATTTACATGCACATCGCTAATATCTTTAACATCTGATCAAACATATCAACATCGCTATCTTTTTTTTTTTCCATGCAATTTTATGACACCAATGTGTTGTAAGTGTAAATAACAAACTTTCGAAGTAGAGAGAGAGAGAGAGAGAGAGAGAGAGAGAGAGAGAGAGAGAGAGAGAGAGAGAGAGAGAGAGAGAGAGAGAGAGAGAGAGAGAGAGAGAGAGAGAGCTCTTGTCTTATATTGTAGAGCATCATTTACATTGATGATATATATTATTTGAGCTCAACTAACTTGTGATCAAGATCAATTCATTGATGTGCTAAACAATAAAAGCTCATTTTTGAATTTTATTAATAATAGATGGCTTCTTAAATATATAAAGGATAATGCTTTTATCACTCGATGTAATCTTGTCATTGAGTATTAAAAACACAATTCTTGATTAAGGATTGATAAACTACTCTTCGCTCCCTAGGCTTACTTGCCTAAACCCTATATAAAGGTAACATTTTATGCAAGTCATACTGGCCTAGTGTCAAAATGTCCCCCGTAGACTCAATGTGGGAGATATTATGATAACGAAGGATAATAATATTTTAGGAGGGATAAAATTGATATTTTAAGAGGGGCAACAAATCAAATTTTTCCCTTTCATGTAAGTAAAAATTTGAATTTGAAGTGGGGGTGAGGTAACCATTTTTGGGTCCACTTCTCTTGAGTGACAGAGGGTTTTGTCTATCAACCAAGTGACCTTGGGTTTAACATCTTGCTTGTGAAAGAAAAAACTCTTTAGTGTTGCTTGCCCAACCACACCCACTTATCTCCTTTAATTTTGTAAACGAGTTAATGACCCACTATAAAAATGGAAAATTTTTTATATTAGGATTTTTTAATCAAAAAAATGATTGGGATGAATTGCATAGCTTTTAGGCTTGCTATAATAAAAATGTAATATTAATTATGTATGTATTGCTCTCATTTTAAATAATATCCAAGAGCTTTATCTTGACCATAATTTTAACTAGAATGTTGTAGCAAAACTTTTTCCAATAAATTAAATACAAGAAAAAAATTCACCTCTGAGAGTAATGAAAAAAAATAAAAAATCAACTTTAAAAATTGATGACAAAATAAAATATTTTGCAAGGCTTGTTTATTATATTTCTTGACTTTATCTTCAACATATTTTGAGTTGTTGTTAGTATAATCGGCTAAACTTATTCTTTAACCAGTCCTAAGAAGATAATGGATATAGAATGAAAATATAAGAGATGTTGAATATAAATATATGAGATATTGAATACAAAACATAGGCCAGGGTACCACTCTATCACATTTCGAGTCTTGAAGACGGTGCACCCCAATAACAAAAGGTGTGATGAAAATATACTAACCTATTTTGTTTTCTCATGAATGAAATACTATACATAAGTAATTAATAAAATAAACCAAGAAATATACTTTTATTTTATTTCATAAATAAAAGTTTAACAAGTGATGCATCTCATGAAATTAAAAATATTAATAATTGAAACAAAATATAAGTAATAACGAGGAATAACCAACATGAAACTCAAATACCAAAAGTAAATCTAAAACTAGAAAGTTTTCTTCGATAGAGACATTTATCCCAATTGCTGAATATATATTGCTATATAAAAACTCAAGGAATGAGGCTTACAAATCAAACTCAATGAATAACTAATATTTATTAAAACATAAATAACAAAAGAAATGAGGCATGAAATTTGAAAAACAAAGAGAGAGAAATTAATTTATGCATAATAAAATCTACAACAAGAGTATCAAATGTTTATGATCATGAACGTGAGTGACTTAAATCATGCACTTCTAAATATTTATTTTTTTTCAACCAAATTAAGTGCGTTTATATTTAATATTTTAACACTACTAGATAAAATATA